CCCCCCCCCCCCCCCCCCCCCCCGATTAGGGCATTTTCTTATTTTTACTGTTTTTAGAATTTTATAAAATTATCTCCTTACAGAAATTTTAGAATGGTTAGTGTTTGTATATTGTTATTTTATGAATGTCACTTATTTCTGCTCTGTGATCATAAAATCAGCCAAAATTTGTGACTGTTAATGTGAAATGAAAATGTAGAGATTAAATGCTATCCTGTTGATATTAAAATAATTTTCTTTTCTTTTCTTTTTTTTTTTCTGTCCTTTTTGAGACCGGCCGAACCGCGCTCAGCCAGTGAGCGCTGTGAGCGCACTGGTCATCCCTATATAGGATCCGAACCTACGGCGGCCAGCGCCGCACTCTCCCGAGTGCGCCATGGGCCCGGCCCTTAAAATAATTTTCTTAAATACTGTTCTCTTATGTGAACATAGGGTCACATAAGACCCATTCTCTTCCTCAGAATTTCTTTATAGTTTTCTCATCTTTGGCATGGTCATTTCCTTATTCTTAGCTTTTGTTTCCTCCTCCCTAGCGGGAGTAAGAGTCTCTCTCCTCATGTTCCTAGTCGTATATTATGAAGTGTAATCATAGGTGTATAAAGTACCGAGTTCTTTCTTGGCTTGCCAGAGTGCTAAAGAAACCAAGGTCAGCTTCATCCTTTCCTTGGTACATAGATTTCTTTGATCTAATCCTTGGATAGTACATGAATCTTGCCTTGCTGTTTCGTAAATACTGCCTTTGGTGACAGGGTTGTCCAGCTAAGTGTGGATAGTGCAGCAAGAATGCACCCTCATTTATCACAAGGTAAGTAAATAATAGTTTCTTACAGGTGAGCAGCTGCAGCGTATGTCATATAAATGTGTTGTAAAGAAATTACAGTAGTTAGCGCCCTCTAGAAGTTCTCTACTATGGCTTTATTATAGTTCAAGATTTCTGATTGTCTCAGTAGCTGTAGAATTATTTGTTCAAGAGAACATTTTAAAGCAATGTTATGCAGAAGTAATTTCCATTTAAGAGATTAAAAGGTGGTTATTGTACAAATCAAAAACAAACAGAGGAAAGCTATATTTTTCAACAAATGATACTGAGAAAATAGGCTATTTGGCAGAATTAAGAAAAAAAAGGGCCATATGTTCATCATATGCCAGGTGAAATTCTAGATGAGTAAAAATAGTTTTATGAAGACAAATTTAAAAACCAGAACAAAATATTACTTAATTTCATAAACAGCTTTTCTATGCCTAAAATCAGTGAGGTGCTTTTATGGATCAATAGGGAAATACACTAACAGTAGAAAAATGGGCAAAGGACATGATAATTTTCAGGAATTATGGTATAATGCTTTTTAATTTTAATATCAATTGATGGAGTATTGATTATGATATTAAGATACCCTTTTTAAAGGTTTCTGGAAATCTTGCATAGAAACATTTGTTAGGATATTGTAAACCTTCTTAAAGTGAATTTCAGTAGGTTTTTAGAACCCTGAAAATAATTATTTTCAAAGTTTTCTTTTACAACTGTTTCACATCTCTCTTTTGATAAAGTCATTCAAGATGCACATAATATTTGTTGCCAGATTATTGCTGTAGTGCTTTTTTTTTTTTTTTTTTTTTGTCCTTTTTGTGACCGGCCGCACCGTGCTCAGCCAGTGAGCGCATCGCACCGGCCATCCCTATATAGGATCCGAAGCCGCCGTGCTCCCAGCGCCGCACTCTCCCAAGTGCGCCACGGCTCGGCCCTGTAGTGCTATTTTTAGGAGGGAACATTGCATTCACCAACCTTTTCAATAATGTTAGCACTCAGTGAATTGTGGTACATCCATAACATGGAATATTATATACTCTAAAGTTTTCAAAGAATATTTAATCTCATAGGAATACACAGTACATAGTAAAAGTCAATAAGTAGTAAGTATACTTACCTAAATGTGATTACAGTTGTGTATACATAGGGAAATACTTCTGTAGGTATAATTCTGTAGTGGATGTTGTGGTGTGTTTTCAGACCCCCTTTCAGGACTGATGTAACTAATTCCCCCAGCTGCTGTGAGTGTCAGCCAACTTGCGCAAGGTGTCACCCCTTCCCTGGGGAGGGCCTCCCCAGCTCCTGAGCTGCTCTGGTGCAGCTGCATCAGCATTCAACTCTCCCTCTGCCCAGTCTGCCCTCTCTCATGCCTCACAGATGTTGTTATTTCCAGAACTCCCCAGCAAGTCTGTGCACAAATCTGAGTCTATTTCCTGAGGAATTTCACTTATTATAGATTACAAGGGATTTCTGCTTTTTTTCCTATAAATTTTTTGGTTTCTTTTGTTTAAAATCAGGCAAAGAACTATTTAGGATGAGCGGTACCTTAAAAACAATAGGGGACTCTCTTCTGTATATATTTAAGGCCAGATACAGGAACTTCACCTGGTTCCGGATTATTATTAAGACAGTTTTAAGTGTTAGATTTTTAATTCATCCAGCAGAAATGGAACTTTTAAACATCTGTATGTAACATAATATTTATTTGTATTGTAGTGTAAAGAACTGGCCAAGTCCAAGGCAGAAGTGGCCTGCATTGCAGTATATGAAACAGATGTGTTTGTTGTTGGAACCGAAAGAGGACGTGCTTTTGTCAATACCAGAAAGGATTTTCAAAAAGATTTCGTAAAATACTGTAAGCATTGCATTTTTATCTTTTGTATTTCGTGAATTTTAAACCTAAATATTTATAGGTGAGACATGTCATATTTTCTTCTAAAGCAGAGTGAGATTTATACTAAGAAAGGTTTTCTGGTGTTTATAGAGATATTTCAAAATGCTCAAAATGAATCACTGAAATGGTGATATGTAAGGGTAAAGAGTTTAAGAAAAATGGAAAATGTTTATTGTACTGTGTTCCCTGCTTCGCATTACTCCGGATTGGTAGAAGACATTTACAGAAGATAGAGAACTTTTGGATTAAAGTTCTTATTTAGATAAGCAGTTCTCTTCTTGACAGATATTTGGTGTGTTGAAAACAAAGTCTTTCTCTGTGCAAATGAGTTTGTTTAAGCATGATACAGTTAAGCAGGTCTCCGCATCTCCCTCAGTGGAATAATTTATCAGAGTCTTCAGTGAGTTTTGTAATCATCTGTTCAAGGGTATTGGCGAGCTTTTTGATATTGAAACAAACAGTAGAAAAATTTACTATGGGATGTTTAATACTTGTGGCCTTTACAGTACCACAGTTTTTGTATCTTGTGTTTAACCTAAACCTGTTAATAGGTTTTATATTTCCTTAGTGAAACAGCATTATTTAAGTGTGGAAAGGGAACACAAAAGATGGGGTGTTAGATATGTCTCTAAGATATAAACTGAAATTTCCATTGTTGAGTTAGATCCAGTTCAAGGTGTAAGTCAGGTAGCTTATGAGTAAATAAAAACAGTTTTGTTAATTCATTAATTTCAATTCCCAGTTGCATTTTTATTCCTTTTAAAAAAACATATCTGATGTGACTGGCCAGTTACCTCACTTGGTTAGAGCGTGGTGCTGACGACCAAGGTTGAAGGTTCGGATTCCTGTATTGGCCGGCTGCTGGAAAAAATCCGTATCTTTTCTACACCATTTTATTTTATTTTTCCTCACTAGCTATAATCTTTTAAGCTTTTATAGTAGTAATCTATTTAAAAATTTTGTCGGTATTTCGTATCATTTTGAGAAATTTTAAAACCTTGATTATGTTTGTATATTTCTTTATACTAATAATGTTGTTTTGATTATGTGTATATCAGCTGCCATCTGTCCCATGAATACTATAATCCCACTGGCAGCTGTGTTTATGTTCCTCTTCCCTATACTGCCTTGCTTGTGTGCTTCTCCAGTGGTTAGAACAAGCAGTAGGGGAATTGTCCTCAGTTGCACGTTGTAGCCCCTGCCCACTGGTATTTGCACTTTGTTTTCATAACTAATAATATAATTCATAAGTACCTGGTATTTGTTTTTGTAAATTATTTTGCAGATAAGGAGCAATAGTGGTTTTCTGAAATGTAATCGGTTTATTAGTCAGATTTAGAATTCTTTGGAAGAATTCTAAGCCCTTTTTTGGGGTTTAGAAAAGTGCTATCCAATATAAATAAATACAGTGTGAGTCAATCATATAATTTAGAATTTTCTAGTTATGACATTAAAGAGAAGTAAAGAGAAACAAGTAAAATTTTAGTGGTAATAGTTTAGTCTAATATATCTAAAATGTTATTGCAACATGTAATCAGTATAAAAATTATTAATGGGATGTTAAGTCTACTTTTCGTGTTAGGTCTTTAAAGTACAGTGTGTATTTGTACATTTACAACACATCTTAATTTGTACTGGCCACATTTCAGTTGTCACATATGTCTAGTGGTTATTGTGTTGGACTTTGCAAGCCTAGAATTTTTTTTGTGGTGATATTTAAATTTGTAGCTGATAAATACTCATTTCCTTTTAAAAACTGCTAGCAACTAATTTGTAGTATCTTTAAATATAGCTACACTTATTTCAGAGATGGTAGCCATTTCATATTACTTTCTAGTCATTTGTGTCTTTTAGGTTTTTAATTATGTTTTTCGTGGCTGGCCGGTAAGGTGATTCGAACCCTTCACCTTGGTGTTATTAGCACCATGCTCTAACAAAATGCGCTAACTGCCAGTCCTAGGTTTTTATTTTTAAAATTCCCCCTTGGGTCGGCCCCATGGCTCATTCGGGAGAGTGTGATGCTGGTAGCGCGAGGCCACGGGTTGGGATCCTATATAGGGATGGCCGCTGCGCTCACTGGCTGAGCGCAGTGCGAACGACCCCAAGCCGAGGGTTGCGATCCCCTTACCAGTCAGAAAAATAAAATAAAATAAAATTCCCCCTTAATCCTTTTCCTTTCCGTTTTTATAACAAATCATAAATGTTAAAATACAGAAAAATAGATGCTTGCTAAAAGCCAAATATTTAGATAATGGGATATTGGTCTTTTATATTATTGATTATTTTACAGGTGTTGAAGAAGAAGAAAAGGCTGCAGAGATGCATAAAATGAAATCTACAACCCCGGCGAATCGGATGAGTGTAGATGCTGTAGAAATTGAAACACTCAGAAAAACAGTTGAGGACTATTTCTGCTTTTGCTATGGTAAAAGCAATAAACTTTAATTTTATGAAAGATACATTATATAATTGAGTTTTCTGAAGGGTTGATTACATAGTTGACTTAACAATCATATAACACATCTTCACAAATTGAATGGATTAATTCCCAAATATTCAGTTAACGTTAGGAACAACCCCACTGTACTCTCCACTTCCATTTCTGAAGGAACCCAGAAACACATGTAGCTATTAGAGCTTTTCATTTTTGAAATGCTAAACTCTCCAATCCCCTACAAAACTACTTTTTGTTAATCCAATCACATGGTAAGACCTAAAGCTCTTCTAAGAAAACAAAGGAGGAGGATCTAGGTTGTATAGTGGGATTATAGGTAAAATTCAGGTCTTTGGAGTGGGATTTCTAGCTTCAGTGTGGCTTGCTGCCTGATACACACAGGCTGACAGACTACACCCAGTTGTGAAGGAATGTTGTGCTTATCTGCTAAATTTTCAATGAGAATATTAGCCAAAAATTTCCTGGTATTTTATGGTAACAGTTGGATTTGTCAGGCCAAATTCTGAGGCCAAATTGTATATGACAAGATTGTGTTATATCAGGATGGGAGCGTCTGAAAGAAAGAATAATTTGTGCAAGAAATCGGCCATTGTTCCTTTCCTTTTGTGTAGATTTTAAAGTAAGATGTTTTATATCCTTTTCATTTTGACCCTTTGGATCTGTTTCAGGTTTAGAATTTCTGCTAACATAGGAGTAGGACCCTGCAGTATTTCAAAGCAGTTTTGAAACCAGATATTACAAAACATGAATGTCGTTTATTAAGCCATAATAAACTAATAATGATTTACTGTTTTAATCTTAGCATTTAATGATGTTTATCCTCTTTCTACCACCCACAGGGAAAGCTTTAGGCAAATCCACAGTGGTACCCATTCCATATGAGAAGATGCTACGAGACCAGGGGGCTGTGGTAGTGCAGGGGCTTCCGGAAGGAGTTACCTTTAAACACCCTGAGAATTATGATCTTGCAACCCTGAAATGGATTTTGGAGAACAAAGCAGGGATTTCATTTATCATTAAGAGGTGAAGTGCTTTCTCCCTTCTTGCCCATCAACAGTTTATTCATATAAAGTTGAATATTCACCTTATTTTAATGTATTTTTTAAATTCTTGTTTAATGCAGAAGTCACTTAAATTTATGCTTTATAATAATTTTGTGTATTCATATATAGTTTTTTGTTTTGTTTTCATGCAGACCTTTCCTAGAGCCAAAGAAGCACCTTGGTAAGTGATTGTTTTGCTTACACGGCTGGCTTCCTAAACCTGTTTTGCCAGGTTTTAATACATTTCGATAGTTTTTCTTTTATTTTCTTTGAGAATATGATGTCAGATATTTTGTAGTGGAGTATTATGATGTTTATATAAACCAAGAAAGGTTCATTGAGCTGAAAAAGTGTGTAGACTTGTGTTTTATTTTCAGCTCAGCTACTTGCTTTATGATGGTTTTATGTTTGCAGTGTATGTGTATACTGGATCTGCCTTCATTCTCCGTAATTATGAGTAGGATTAGGTTACTTAATGTTCTTGAACAGACAAAGTGTTGGGCCTGGGATTGGGGAGGGCATATACAACTGTGTATAAGCATTAAAGCTTCTGTATGCTTGTAGTCTTGCTTGTAGTCTAATGGAAGAGGTAAAGTCCATAAAATGACCTTGGCAAGAGCATAACATCCATACTGTAAGAATGGTTCAGAGAAAGTGGTATGGAAGTTCATTGGAGGTAGGATTCATTTATAGTTCAGGGAGGACTTTATGGGGAAGAGGGCATTCAGATGAGCACTTGAAGGATGAGGAGGGTTTCAACGGGACTTCCATTAGGGAAGTCTAGCCATTCCATTTGAAGAGAAAACATGATAAAAGAGTGATACCTTTTGGAACCAAGTTTGTTTGAGACTTTTGACAGTAATTAACCAGTATTATTGGAAATCTCTTAACATAAGGATGAAATGAAAGAATAATATATGCATACACACATTTTGTTTTACTCTCACCATGGTGAAAAGATAATTTTTTAGTAGATTTATTTAGGCATAATTGACCACCATTAAATTCTCCCCTTTTAATGATATATAATTCAATTATTTTTAGTAAGTTTACAGTCTTAAAAACTTAAGGACAGTTTTACAACCATTATTATAGTCTAAGATATACGTATACACCATGGAATAGCCAGGTCAGTCTAATTAACATACCTCACATATTTTTTGGTGAAAATTCATACTTCCTTTGTTATGAATATTTTTTTTCTGGAAATATTTTATATTGGCCTAGTCTGCCATTTATATGTTATAACATTTTTATTCTAGAAGCCTGTTTTGATACTCGGGGCCTGGTTATTAAAGAATAGTTCTATGTGGTGTTTTATAATAAGTGGCCCAACTGGGTGGGTTTGTATGATTCAGCTTTTTTTGCCATACCAACTCTCAAAGAATAACTGACAACTTGTCATTGTAATGGGATTTTATTTTCCAGGTTTTTTTTTTTTTTTTTTTTTTTTTTTTTTTAAATAGCAACTTTATTGAGGTATAATTGACGTACAGTAAACTACATTTATTTATTTATTTTTGGTGGCTGGCCAGTTTGGGGATTTGAACCCTTGACCTTGGTGTTACAACACCATACTCTAACCAAATGAGCTAACTGGCCAGCCAAACTACACATTTAAATTGCACAGTTTGATTAGTTTTGACCCACATATACATTGTGATGTGTGAAACCATCATCACTATCTAGATAATTAACATCTTCACCATCCCGAACATTCCTCACACCCGTGTGTAGTTCTGCCCTTCTCTCTTGCCTGCTTCATCCCCAGGCAACCACTGATCTTGCTGTCACTGTAGATCTCATTTGCATTTTCTGGATTTTTATGTAAATGGAATCATCCTGTATGTACTCTTTTTGTCTGGCTTCTTATTTTGAAATTTATCTACGTTGTTTTATGAATCAATAGTTCATTCTTTTTTATTGCTGAGTAGTATTCTATTTCATTTTTATCTATATTTTGATATGGAAACATCACGACTTATTTACTCATTCATCTGGTGATGAATACTTGGGCTGTTTACATTTCTTGGCTATTAGAAAGAAAGCTGCTATGAATATTTAAATGCAGGTCTTTATCTGGACATATGTTTTCATTTCTTCTGGGAAAATGCGTAAAATTGGAAGGGCTGGATCATCTGGTAGTTGTTGCAGGTTTAACTTTTTAAGAAACTGCCAAGCTGGTTTTAGAAGTGATTGTTCCAGTTTACATTTCCACCAGCAGTGTATGAAAGTTCCAGTTGTTCTATGTCTTCATCAACATTTGGTGAAATCAGTCTTTTTTTTTTTTCTTTTTGTAGTTTTTTTTTTTTTTTTTTTTTTTTTTTTTTTTTTTAACCGGTCTGTATGTGGGATCCGAACCCTTGGCGGGAGCGCCACCGCGCTCCCAAGTGGCGCACTGTAGCAGTGCGCCACCGGGCCGGCCCTTTTTGTAGTTTTTTTAATTGAAGTATAATTCATGTAACACAAAGTTCACCATTTTAAAGTATACAATTCATTTGTTGTACAGTGATCACTACTAATTCTAGAATATTTACATCACCCTGAAAAGAAACCCCATACCTATTAGCAGTCACTCCTTTCCACTTCTTCTGAGCCAGGTCTGTTTTTTTTTTTGTAGCTGGTGGGTTCTGGGATCTGAACCCTTGACCTTGGTGTTATAACACCACACTCTGGGCCGACCCGTGGCTCACTCCGGAGAGGGTGGCGCTGCGCCAAGGCCGCGGGTTCGGATCCTATATAGGGATGGCTGGTGTACTCACTGGCTGAGCGCGGTGCAGGTGACACCAAGCCAAGGGTTACGATCCCCTTACTGGTCACACACACAAAAAAGGAAGAGTGTGGTGCTGATAACACCACACTCTGACCCACTGAGCTAACCAGCCAGCCCCCAAGATCTATTCTTAATAACAATCTATATTGTCATTCTTATATCATTAGATTGTTATTGTACCTTACTAGAGAAAATGGTATATTTCTGTATTCGTCTCACTGACAAAAATAGAGCTTTTTCATTAAGACGGCACCAATAGGTGAGAGATGAAAAGGTGTTAAGTGATTGTTATCTGTATTTATTTTTCTTGTAGGGGAGAACAAAGTATACTGTTTTACACCTAATACGGTACTTATTCTAGTATAACCCAGAGCTGTAAACCCCACATAGTTACTCTATATAAGCCTTTGGAAATATTGGTCATATTTGAAATGTTGGGAAAATCTAATTTTTTTTTTTGTACATAGGTGGTCGTGTGATGGTAACAGATGCTGAAAGGTCAATACTATCCCAAGGCGGAAGGTAAAATGTAATTTTTCATTAGTACTATTGAACTTTGACAACTCATGAATTTTAGTTTTTAGATTATTGAGATATTAGCATATTAAAAAGACCTTATGGGGCCGGCCCGTGGCTCACTCGGGAGAGTGCGCTGCTGATAACACCAAGGCCCTGGGTTCGGATCCCATATAGGGATGGCCGGTTAGCTCACTGGCTGAGCGTGGTGCTGACAACACCAAGTCAAGGGTTGAGATCCCCTTACCGGTCATCTTTTTAAAAAAAATAAAATAAAATAAAAAAATAAAAAATAAAAAAATAAAAAGACCTTATGTCACGGATTTCAAAGATTAATGTTCATTTAAATCATTTGGAGATCTTGTGAAAATGCACTTTTTGAACTGGTAGTTCTGAATAGTACTGTTTTCTGGGTAAAGCTGATGTTACTGACCACACTGAAGTGGAAAGTTGTATAATAAAGTGGAATTTGAAAGTTAATAGGCTACTCTATATTGTTTTGTTGTACTTTTTTCCCCAAAAGATAGATTAAACTTAAAGAAATTCAGTTGACATCTTTTGTTTATACAAGAAATGAAAATGTAAATTCTAAGTTAAGTCAGTTTTGCATTCAGTTTGGTCAGGTGGGTGATTTTATACTTTGAGATGTAGTGCATTTGAATACTGCGTGACTGGATTTCACCATTGCATAGCTTTTTAAAAATTTTTTGATTGAATGTATTGATTGTACATATTTATGGGGTATAGAGGGTTTTTTTATTATTGATTATGCATATTCATGGAGCACAGAGCTGACCGTCAGCACCAGCAGAGTTATATTTCAATACATGTATACAATGTATGGTGATCAAATCAGGGTAGTTAGGAAATTCATCACTGTAAAAATTTATCGTCCATTGTGTAGCTTGATCAGGGTTTTCTTTTCTTTTCAGTTGTGGCCCCATCAAAGTGAAAACTGAACCCACAGAGGATTCTGGTATGTACTAGTGTTTTCAAAATGAAAGTAAGGAAGACTTTTCCTTAGTTTAGAAGGTTATATTTTGACACATTAATTATTGTATTGTTTTGATGAGAAATAGGCAATCACTGCAAATTTATTCCAGCTGTGACATTATTTGTTAATGTTATGATATTATACTGAAACCCAAAAAGAGAATTTGCACAGTAAGTGATAGCCTGAAGTTCGTTGCTAATTAAACGTTTCTAGATAAAATTCATTACATTTTATTTTTTTTCAGTTACACGGGTATGTAGTGTAAAAGGCCAATTCATTTTACACCGCTTTTTACAAAAATCAATATAATACTCTCTCTTTTCCTTTTGCACTCCCATTTTCAACTCTAATCTGTTTTTCATATGAAACTCTATTTTTAATGTCCTGTTTATACTGTTACTTCATATAGTTTTTGGTATAGCTTAATTGATACATAGTTTTTATACCACAAAATTCATTTAAGTATAAAATTCAATAATATTTAGTAAATTACAGAGTTCTGCAACAAACACCACAATTAATTACAGAACATTTCCATCACCCCAAACAGAAGTGCCCATTTGCTGTCACTCTCTGTTCCTACAACTAATCTATTTTCAGCTTTTATAGATTTGTCTTATCTGGACATTTCATATAAGAATCAGAATATGTAGTGTTTTGCATCCTTTGTTCTGCATCATGTTTTGAGGCTCATGATCAAAAAAGTTTTAGCAGCTATAAGTAATTTATAACTGGATATTATTCAATCGTATGGGTATACTGTACTACCTTTTCTTTACCCATTTACCATTTGATAGACATTTGGGTTGTTTCCATTTTTAGGCTGTTTTAAATAACACTGCTATGAACATCCACATATGCATCTTGGGTGTCAATGATTTTATTTCTCTTGGGTGGATAAATAGGAGTGAATGAATTGCTGGGTTGTATGGTAATTCTATGTTTAACTTTTAAGCAACTGCCAAACTGTTTTCCGAAGTGGCCATACCATTTTATGTTCCTTCTAACACTGTAGAAAGGTTTTGGTTTTTCCTTCTCTTGACCAACAATTGTATTATCTTTTTGCTTATAGCAATCCTAGTGGGTGTAAGTGGTATCTCACTGAGGTTTTTCTTTTGTGTGCAGAAAAAACAAACCGTGTTTTTCCCACTGTACTCTAACATATACTTCTGACACTAGATGTGTGGGGATTTCTCCTCACCAGAAAGCAAGAAATCAGTTCTACATCAGACACTAGCTGGGTGTCCTTCAATTCAATTCTGACACTATCTACCTAGAGATAGTATCAGATCCCATAGATTAAGTGCTCAGTTCCCAAGGCTGAGCCCCATGTCCAATGCTGATGCTTCCACACCCTCCAGGAACCTCCCTGCGTTCAGCTCTCTGGAAGCTCTCTAAACACTGTCCTTTGGGTTTTTATGGGGCTTCATTACATAGGCATGATTGATCATATATCATTGGCCATTGGTGATCGACTTAAACCTTCAGCTCCTCTCCTCTCCCAGGAAGTTGAGGGATGAGGCTGAAAGTCCCAGCGTTCTAGTCCTGCCTTGGTCTTTCCTGTGACCAGTCTCCATCCTGAAGCTACCTAGGGACTGCCAGCTATCAGTCAACTCATTAACATGCAGAAAGACACTTACCACTTTGAAGGTTCCAAGGACTGTAGGACTCTTATGCCAGGAAAGGGAAGAGCATGAAGGTCATATATATATTTCGACATATCAGAAGTAGACATTAGTTTTTTGTAGATTGTTTTAGGTTCAGAGCAAAATTAAGCAGAAAGTACAGAGCTCCCATATACCCAGTGTCCCCATGTACACATAGCCTCCCCCACTGTCATTATTCCGCACCAGGGTGGTACATTTGTTTCCATAAATGAACCTACGCTGACACATCATTACCACGCAAAGTGCATGGTTTACTTTAGGGTTTACTCTTGGTGTTTACTTGCTATGGGTTTTTCAAATGTATGATGACATGTGTTCACCATTATAATATCATACAGAATAGTTTCACTGCCCTAAAGATCCTCTGTGCTCTGCCAGTTCATTCCTTCCTCCCCCCAACCCCTGGCAATCTTTTTACTGTCTGTATAGTTTTCCCTTTTTCAGAATCTGATATATTTTGAATATCGTTGTGGTTTTAATTTACATTTCCCTAACAATTAATGATGTTAAATATCTTTTCATTGGCTCATTAGCCATTCATATATCTTCTTTGGTGACATGTCTGTTTAAATATTTTACCCATTTTTAAATTGGGTTTGTTTTCTTTTTTTTTTTTTTGTCTTTTGTCTTTTTTCCGTGTCCGGCAACGGATCGCAACCC